AGGAAGAGATGTCTTTCAGCAGAGTTAGTGTGTTTTGGTGCTGCATGGCTGAAGCATCATTTTTCTAATTGCTCCCTTTTTCTGCTGAATCCATATGGAACACAGCACACACAATAGAGATTTAGGGGTTTTTAAAGCACACTTTCATAAGGGCAACCTAGGAATCACAGAGGGATACCGTGAAACAGTATCTGAAAGCATTGAATGTAGAACACAGTGAAAAAGGGAGCAAGCATCGTTTGACCTGCTGTTTATTTGTCACAATGACAGGATGCACAATAACTTTTTTCTTCTGATAGGTGAAGCAAGGTAAGTAAAATTAATGGCACCCACGACTTGCTCCTGCTGAAATCTGGCATGAGTCTGTACTGCCTGTAAATGTCCAACTCTGCTAGTCAAGCTAGCCACCAACTTCATTGAGTTAATTTAATGTTTACAAAACAAAGGATCCTTTTGGAAAAAGGCTGAGGAATTCGAGTGCCTCTGCAACCTGATACTCAGAAATATAACATGAAATAAGCTAGGGCTTTGAGCTGAAATTTATTTAAAAAATCTATAATATATGCGATAAAAGATGTGCTAAAACTACTTTAAAACTACAAAGAAACTAACATAACAACTGCCTGAAACAAAATAGGAGAGACGAATTAATCCACCTGGCAAGGCCTTATTTAGTTTGCTTTAACAAAATCTGTAGAACCTATTGCTCTGCTTTTCTAATGATGTAGCCTAAGACACAGGAGATAATAAAAGCCAAGACACTTAAAGCTGTTGTAAAACTAGGTCACTGTTAAATTAAACATTTTATGAAAAATAGAACCTGCCTTGAACAACTCTGAAAACCTCTTTGCTTTTTTCATGCCCTCTGTCAAAGAGAGACACTTACTCCTCTTTATTGCCTTCATGAGAAAAAACACTGCTTTAGTGACGTTTCAGCACTCACCTCGAGCCAGCAGCTCCATTTTTTCTTGTAATTAACAGCTATTGAATATTTATGAAGTAAGTGCTATGGGGTAACACTTACTCATTCGATCAACAATGCTGTTGGTTTGAAAACTGAAAGGAAAACACTGGCCCTACCTCAAAGCACTGCAACCACTGCAGCTGCAGCAGCTTCTGCCTTTCTGAGCTTTTCAAGCACCAGGAGAGGAGGATGCTACTGGCAGAAAGCTATCAGTATCTACTCCTCCTTTTTTTCAGATGATCACAGGGGAACGTGCTGTGCTGTGACTCTTTGCCACGTAAAGAATCTGTTGGAATACCCTGGAGACCCCCACTGTTGAGCTGTGAGTAAGAGTTAACAGAAGCCCTGTGAGCATGTGTAACTCTGGTGTCAGCCACGATATGCAGGGGTTCAAAGCTGTACATTCTGAAGTTGATAAAAGGACCTCTTTACAGCAATGAGGATCATACAGATTTGGGACAGCATTACTAGGCATGAGGGAAGTTTTCTACCATGGCAGTTTTCAATAGAAGATATGATTTTATAAAATGTGTGGCTTTGTCATTGAAATCAGTCTCTGGGATAAAGAAAAGCTGACCAAATATTTTCAATAGGAAATGTTAGTGAAGATGAAAATTCTAGCTCAGGTTCTTCAGTTTTAATGATGTATCATTAATAACAAGTGGTGTTCCATCCCTGGTGTGGACCATGGTGGTCTCTTCTGGCTTTCAGATGTCATCATATAGGACAGAGGAAGAGGAACAATGAAACTCTTCCCTCCTGGCCAGAAAAATGCATGACAGTCCCTCCCCACACATTCTTCTCCGGTGCTTACTAAGCATAGCAGTGTTTCAGATGCAAGGTCTTTTTCTGCTAGCATTGCTGTACGTGTGTAGTTCTACATCAACTCGAGATGTCCCACTGATCTAAAAGGAACTGTTTCTGCATCTCTAATCATTCTCATCAAACTGCTGGACTCTCCCGCTGGGAAAGAGGCTAAACTAAGAAACAGTTGCTGTGATGAACCAACTCTGGCTACGTTGTTTTCAGCATAAGGATCAATGTAAATACAAAGCTGGCTCAGTTTTATCAGGTTTTAATTATGTATAATTTCTTTTAGTAGTTAATGCATGAAAGTAAAAAATGTTGCTATGCCATTTTGCTTCATACCATTTATTACTTCAAGGGACCAAAGAATCATTGTTACTTGAGAGAAGCCACTAGGCAAAGATTCACTTATTTATAGTATAAAATGGGGAAATAGGACATGGAATATTATCTAAACTTGAAATACCATTTAAATTGTATTTATTTATTATTTGCCTTTCCTTTTATTTGTACTTTTTGGTTACAATTTCTTCTGCTGAGCATGATTAAAATAAGCAGAGACGTCACTTTTACTTTAATGTTTCCATTCAGCTTCCTTTCTCAACATCCTGGGCTGCTGGAGTATGGTAACACTCAGGCTGTATATACTTCCAGAAAACAGATATGTAATTTCTTTGAATTATAATGTTAATACACATGTGAAAGCATGTGAAATATTTTCTGTCTGTCTTCTACTTTGAAAACACCATTTTATAGAACTTGCCTTTTAGTCTGAGTTAACCTGATATACTCAAGAACTTAAATTTGTTGGCTACTGCATGCACACTCCTTTGAGGGAGCTGTGAGAACAAAGACTGTGTAGAGTAGTCTTGAAACAGTTTTTCCTGAACAGACCTGATATAAGACACTGAAATACTGTTGATATTACATATAGTCATACCCCAGCATAACTCAATATAACTAGTGATTTAAAATGCTTTGTTGAGAAAATCTCTAAAAAATTAAATCTTTATTTCATAGGTAGCCATTCTTTCTTTCTTCCCTTTGCCAGACAGCTTTGTGTGGCAAATGATATACAATATGCTTGGTTTAATCCAAAGGGAATTAAAATTAGTTTAAATTCAAACTTGATATAAAGAGAAATATTTTTTAGATTAATTTTACTTCAAAAAAGTATCCCAAAAATATGCTGTGATGTTTGAGAGGTACATTTTCTTTGAACAAAACAACCAAGATCAAAATGTTTTAACCTGTCACAGAAGCTTTTAAATGCCCACAGCTGAAATCTGAAACAAATCAATTGAATCAACACCCTGTAAAGTCTAGTAAGGGTCAATGAGCTTGTGTGAGGCATAACTGCAGAATTTTGCCACTAAGATGCAATTTTGAGTGTGACAGGGAAATAAATGTATAGTCTGTGTTGATGAAGGACCTTTCTGAAGAAGCATGTAAACTCTGCAAGCTAGAAACTGGCATTTGCAAGACTAAGGAAAGAGTAGCCAGTAACGGTAAAGATGGACATATGGATCCAGTAAAAATGGAAGGGATGCACAGTTGAACCAGAAATATTTTTTTCTCATTAATTTAATATTTGAATTACTGAGCAGTTTAGTGTACGGGATATCACCAGAAATTGTGCTGGGCAGACTACAGCATAAAATAACATGACATCCCTGCATATGATAGCTTCTGGTGTCAGTCAGCAGGCTTCTGAAATATAAACCTGGTTTTGGTATGATCCAGGATGTTAGGAAAATGAGGGAACAGAGACATCACACTGTCATCATGATATTTTATGAAAATGCCTTTGCTAGGATTTTTCCCTCCTGGGAAGCTGAGGAGCCTCAGGAGAGAAATGTAAACAATAACTACCTGCTGCTGTGCAATGCAACAGGTGCATCTGTGACTGCTGCATGTTGGTTGTTTCTAATTAATAGCCAATCACAGATGCAGCTGCATCAGACTCTGAGAGTCAGGAGTCTGTTATTCATTCCATTCTTGTTCTTTCTAGTCTTCTGATGAATCCTTTTCTCTCTATTCTTTTAGTATAGTTTTAACGTATCATTTTAATATAATATATATCATAATATAATAAACCAGCCTTCTGAAACATGGAGGTGAGATTTTGCATCTCCACACACGGGGCACCAGACACAGCACCACACAAGGGCTTTTAAGGCAGGCTGCACGGGTGGGTAAAGGAGCCTTTCCTCTGTGCAGCTGACAGCTTCATTGTGAAGAGTTTCAACAGCAGTAATGAGTCCGATGCGTGGGAACCAAACCTTGGAAATTCACAAACTTTGGCAGGGAGATGGGTGTGGCTACCTCCTGTCAATGGTCTGCCCTAGTGCCTCCCAGCACAGGGCTCTCAGACCTGAGGGTGAGCTCGGGGCAAGGTGGGCTTAACTTGCCGTCTGGAGAAAGAGAAATAAAAATCTCATCCAATAAAGAAATCGGTGAATAATAGCCCTAAGAAGTGTGCGAGCTACTTTGCCCACAAAGTTAATGTGTGGAAATTCATCCTAACCAACAGCAATGTCTTTTGCCCACGGGACAGGTCTGTGTAAAAGAGCTGCGTCTGCAAGCTGTTTTGTTGGAGTTGTGTGGTGCCTGTTAAGATCGATGATGGTGTGCAGAGCCCAGGTGTTATTTAGGGAATCCTGGCTGTTGGAAGCAGGTGACCAAAAGATGAGTTTCCCGGTTTCAGATGGAGGACTTTAGCCAAACACTTTAATTGTGCGACTCAGCACATAAAAGAGCTACTTTGCCCACGGGACAGGTCTGTGTAAAAGAGCTGCGTCTGCAAGCTGTTTTGTTGGACTTGTGTGGTGCCTGTTAAGATCGATGATGGTGTGCAGAGCCCAGGTGTTATTTAGGGAATCCTGGCTGTTGGAAGCAGGTGACCAAAAGATGAGTTTCCCGGTTTCAGATGGAGGACTTTAGCCAAACACTTTAATTGTGCGACTCAGCACATAAACAAGATTGCAAGAGAGATACAAGGTTTGTCTTCGGCTCCAAGCCTTTCCTCGGGGCTGCGCCGAGTGCCCCGGCAGCGGCCGGGGTGGCGGGACGTGGGAGCTGAAGTTCCCCCGCGTCACCGCCAAAGGGCAGCCGGCTCGGCACCGGGGGAAAGGGGCGCCGGGGCCGGGCAGGGGCGGCGCGCCCGGGCCGCCCGTAGCGGGCGCTGCGGCGG